TGTGACATGCTAGTTGAACTAATTGAATGACAGTGGTATTTTTGGGTTCTACTTCTCTTGTGTGAAATGTTGCCTGGTGTTGATAAAAAATGAAATGACTGTAAACAGGCATCCATGGATAAGAACAAAAGTTCTGGGAGAGAGGTAATTAGTGCTGAACAAGCTGAAGACCTCAGAATGAAGGAAAAGAGGAAGCGAGAGCGAGAGGTAAAAATGTTCCCCAATTTTGTTATGCATACAATTGTTTTTGTACATAAGTTATAAATAAGCTTGCTTGTGTGTTGCTATGTATTTACATAATGAATATGATTTGGTATAGAAAAATTTACCTAGAAAGAAGCGTAGAAAATTGGAAGCAGCTAGAGAGATGTTGGAGGACGAGGAGCAAGATGACAAACAAGTAGAGGTATATACTTCTTTCTTTTCCTATTAGCATTCTCTTTGCAGCTAAGTTTGAAATACACTCTTTATTCTTCACCCTGTTGCACCTAAAATGAAATGCATATGATTGCAGGCTAAGGGGGAAAATAAAAAAGAAAAGGGTGGAATGTCACTTGTTGATCTTGCTTACCGACGGGCAAAGGCAGTGAAGGCTGTCAAGAAGGCATTAGATTCTGGCAAAATTGTGCAGAAGAATAAAAAGAAATCTAATAATGCTCCGCGCAAAACTTCTTCAAGGACAGAAGAGATGCGGGAGCTATTCCAGACTGATATGAAGGATAAAAAGACAAAAAGAAGAGGTGTTGGGGGAGGAAAGAAGTCAAAGAGTTCATTCAAAAGCAAGTCAAGGTATTAATTGATAACATTGTCTGAATTATGAAACTAGGAAGTGGAGTATGTTTCCAAGCTTTTAGGCATCTAACATACTTTTGATTTCATCTTGATTGAGTGCAAAAATCCATTTGCTTCTGAAGTTCGATTCATCTGAAGTGAGTCCTTTGAGAGGCCAGCTAAACACGTAATGATATAGCCAATCAGTATTAATCTTGTCATTTCATTTTCTTGGTAATAAAATTGTGTAAATCTTACTCTAAATATATATTTAAAAAAACCCAAGACGCAGCAGTCAATAATTTTAAAGATTTCATTTTATTTATTTATTAAAATATGATCTAGCATTTCATGCACCTTCCTCCCCTTTCCCTTCTTGATGGCTGTAGGTTGGTATGTTACCTAGATGTGTTATGTCATGGAAAGACACGTTCAATGCTGAAAGCAAAAAAAGAAAAAAGAAATAAAAAAGTCAAACTTTGCTTATTTGAATATTTGTCACTACTTAGGTTTCGCTTAACATAAAAATTCTCCTTTTTTTGGTTACAACTTTTGGTTTATTCAAGTCCATAGTTTTGTGGTAAATGAGATATTTGGTTGCAATAAATTTTATCATTTTTTTTTCCTTTTCAACATGGCGAAAAATCAGTGTGCAGTGCACCCCCTCTTTCTTTTCTATTCCAATTATTGCATTGGTAGTAACTTTTAAGCATTTCAACATTTATTTTACACTTGTTTGTGCAATGCTTTGCAGGTACAAGCGAAAGTAGTTTGAAGTTATAATCCTTGTCATAAATATGTGCATGGAAGAAGGACCACAACCTGCAATGCATTGACCTGACATGTAGTCAAATGGTTGTACCATATCCACTCCACTATTGGATTAAATGATCTCCCACCTGTGAATTTCGGCTGATGCGTTTGGATGTTATTGGGTGGCCATGGTGACATGTGTGTAATCACAGTGGGGTAGGATAGCAGTACCTATTACTTCCAATACTTTTTTTTTTAATTGTATCACATGAGTTTGATTCTTACCCCAGTTGGACAGCATAATTTATAGCTGCTCAATTTTGTAATCCTAGCACCAGATTGAGTTTTAAATGTTACCAATAGCAAAATATTTATTTCTGATTACTCTTTTAATTTGGTTCTTGTGCTGTATATATATTAAGTGAAGCTTAAATGCTCCTCACTGTTGACTTGGGAAATTCGGTGTGAAAGAAAAATTCATTAACCGTTATAAAAAGAAAAAGGAAATGTATTATAGTGATTGGTGAAAGAATGAAATGACAATGTTAGGAGTAATGCATATTATTAAATGATAAGTTAATATGAAAAGCATAATGTTAAGATAAATTTTTTATTTGGCATAAAGGATCATATAATGTCTTTTAAAAAATCATAATAAACAATTAACAATTTATACATAGATTCGAGTCTTAACTTTTTTAAAAAAAAAACTTCAGAATAAAATATTTTATTCTATTCTTCAAATCAGTTCACGTTTTTATTTTTGCTCAGGTCTTTACTGTCTTGGTTGATTCTTAAATAATGCTTTAATTAGTTCTGAATTAGCATTTTGTTCCAGAGATTTTTGGACTGCTTAGACTGGTAGCCTACCTTCTTAGTCCAAATTGATCAAATTACAACCATTACAGCCTCCACCATTAATTATTATGTTGGTTAGGAGGAGGAATATTTCATGCTTATATGTATTTTTTTAAAATAAAAAAATGTAAAAAAATTAAAATAAAAGATAAATGATAAATAATCAAAATTTTAAAAATAAAATATTGAGGAAAAATAACCATTTGTTGATGTAGAGAAAAAATCGTGATTAATTTATGATGATAGGATACTGACGAATAGAAATTAAAATTTAAGTTTAAGGTTATTTTTAAAGTTAAATAAATAAAGTAATAAAAGATGACTATGATATTAAAAGGTAAAATTAACCATTAAAAAAGGGAAAACTGAAACTCTATAGTTATAAAAAAAGAAAAAATTGAAGTGAAAGGCTCCATTTTTTTTCGTAATTCAATTACTCCTAGAGTAGCTTTGCGAACTAGTTTTCACATTGGATAAGGAATACCAAGTATATTTTATTAAATACTTTTAATCACTTAAAAGGCTAAATAATATAGGCTGAATGTGCAATTTTATATATTTCAAATGTTTTTGTTGTTATAAATAGTTTATTTTAAAAAAAATATGGTAGTCTGATTACTTGATTCAATCAAATCCAAGTTCAGATTTTTTTTTCACAAACATTATTTAACTCAGTTCATTTAAACTTAATCAATTTAGATTGCACTTTAAATTCAACCAACTCAATTTGTGATCACCCATAACATGATACTTATTTTTAATTTGGTTCTTATACTTTACACTAATTCTATGTTATGCTTATTTGACATCTTTTTCGTGGTGTTATGGTAATTGGTGAAGGTGGCATTGAAATTGATTCTAAGTATAAAAATTAAATTGAAAACTCTTTTCATGAGTATCAAATTTCATAGAGATAAAAATTATATAAAGCTATTATTATGAAAATTGAAAAATATAGATGTCCTTAATTTGGTTCTCTAAAGAATTATGATACCAATTTATTCTTTTATTTATAAAACGTATTGTCCTACATATCAAGTTTGATATTAAGGAATTAAGCTCCTATTTGTTCTGGTATTGGAAAATCAATTCTTACACATTTTAATAATTTTTTTTTCAAACTGAGTTTAATTTAAATTCACGTTATAATTATGTTAAATGATTCAAAATTAAATCTCTTAAAATCAATTATACCCAATTTTAAAAGAAACGAGCCTTAAATTACTATACATTTTAAGTTCTAGAAATAACTGAATATTAACTTTATATTATTAAATTGAACTACTTTTGTGTTTGATAAATTAATTTTAAAGATTAAATTGTGACACTTGTGTAGAAATAAGGATCTTCTCTCAAAATATAAACAAAACATTTCAAATTGAAGTAATGAATTTACATAACTTGAGTCTATCTTTTTCTTTAGATAACATTTTATCACTGTCTCTATTTTTTCTTTACTAGTTTAAATTTTTTTCAATATTTAACATACAAATCATAATTTTTTTTTTAAAAATAGTATGACATTTATAAACATTCTTTTCAAAATCACAGCTGAATAGAGTGAGAATATGAACATTTGGTTTGAAAATTAACCGCGCGGCGCCTACAATTATTGTCAAACCAGCAACAGTGAATTCGACATACTCCGATGTAGAGACACAAAAAGTTTGTCTTACAGTTGGATTTCGATATGATTTTGTCTCTTTCTTTGTTTTTTCTTGGGGAAAAAAATAATAGTTTTGTCTGAAGACCATTCTGTCCTATTTTTGCTTATAAACCAAAGTTTTCATTTTCCCAGATTCTAATTTGCAAAAAAGATTATCTTTTTCTTTTCCCATTCTTTTTTATCTGAGAAAATCTTAGCTGGGTCAGTTTCAAATTTTAAAATTTGAAATGTGAGGAGCTGTGTTAAGGACTGCACTGTTAATGCTTCTGATCAGTAAGATAGCTATCCTTATTTCCACAACCCTTGAACTTACCTGTGTTATGATTTGCTATTTTGTTTCTACAACGTAAGGTTAGTTAGGATTTAAATTTGAGTGCATGTTTGTGTTTTTTTTGTTTCTTTCTATTTTTTTTTATATTAATTTAATATTGAGTCTTTGATATTCTGCTTGAGTATACTCTTTCATATTGTCAAATTTAATGGCTTATTTGTGTTTGATTTCTATGTCTTTTCTTGAAGTTGCTACCATTCCCTGGATTCTGCTAATGTAGTCCCTTTAAGGATTGGATGATTTTTAGTAGATTTGATTCTGCGTCATCCTCGTGGTCCTTTTGGGTTTGTTTCTTTACCTTTTTCATTCCTTTTTTTTCTTTGATAATTCATGCTTCCTTTATTTCATAGCCATAAATGCATGAAGATGATTCTAGTTGGCATTCTCCAACTTAGATTATGATGTGTGGAGTGTGGTTGGTGTCTCGTGGTTGAGGGGCCACATAATGTATCGTGATAATGTACATTCATATTTGTGTTTATTCAGCCAAATAAATCATGGTTTATTTGCTTGCCCTACTCAACTTTGTTATGGAAAATGGGTTTCCTTGTTTTATGATTTGCATCTCGATTGGGCTTATCATTTGAATGCAGTGGTTTATGTGAGTATGCTTTTCTGCTGTGCAGCTTGTAATACCTTACACCCCTTCCAACCCCTCTTTCTTGTTGTATGATATGATGCCTATCACTGATTTATTCATCATTTCCATTTACTTTCAATCAAGAATTGTTAAGTGGTAAACTAAAGCTACTCATGGCCTGATTGTATAAATTTCTCTAGAAGCATTTCTAGGAGAGAAAAATAGGAAGAAAAATTGAAATAAACTCCATAAGCTAAAACTAGTTTATGCATGGGTTAAAAATAAAATTTTGGAGAAATTAATAGAAGGGAGTTTTTACAAATTAGTTTATGGAGAAGTTTATTTCATTTTTCCTTTCTATGTTTCTATCTTATAAGTATTTCTGGAGAAGTTTACTTAAAAATCTATTTATTACTTATTATAATTTGCATACACTAACTGGGTGTATTGTTAACTCCTGCAAATTTACATCTTTCAATCCTGAATTGTTAATTGAAAGATTATGAACATGTTTGTATACAAACTTAAAAGGGCTTTTAAGAGTGTTTTACTGTAAAATACTCTATTTCCTATAGAGAAACTCTCAAAAATGTTTTTAAATTTTATCCAGATAGACACTGAGTTATTGATTGATTTGAATGTACTATTTACATGTAGAGATCATTTGGTAAATTTTCTGATAATATTCATCTCAGAAGCTTTGAACATTTGGGTCTTTGATCGGAGCTAAGAAGAGCATGGAAGGTATTAAGGGCGATGAAGGAGCAGTCACAGTAGGAACCACCGGAACAATCAGCTTGTTGATGACAAGGGAATTGGATCAGATCTCTTCTGTTCCACACCAGCAGGTATCTTCAACAAGTAAACCTCGAATATCATTTTCAAGTGGTAGTACTACGCCAAAACGCCCACAATCAAGAAAATCATTTGAAGCTAGTAGCAGCAGCAGTAGAAACAACATCATAAACCATATAAGTCCTGGAATTGGCCACAAAACAAAAGTTAATGGCAAACATACCCATCAAATACCCATGCTTGGTTCCAATAACGTTGCATTGGAAACAAGTCCAGAAGTGAAGAAAAAAGATAAAAAGAAGAAATCTAAAATTGTTGAAGTTGTGGACATCAAATGTGGTTATGTAGATAAAGCTTGGGCTAGCCCTATAACAAATTCTCTCAAGAAGTTGGGTTTTTCTAAGCTCTCTGAGAACATTACCTAAAGCTGAAATTTTATGTCAGACTTCAGGTTCTTGTAGCTGAAAGCGGAGGTGAAGTTTGTCTTACTGTTGTCAGATACATCTACCACAGAACAGATTCTTGGTAGGAGTTTGCTACTTGATCGCTTTTTCTTTGTACTTTCTACTCTGGATACAGTTGTCGGTCTGGAATCAATACTAATTGAGGAATCTATGTTGATGGTTTGAGACTTGTTCTTCTGTGACCAGTCTTGAGAATTGACTTTGAGCCGGCTGAAGTACTCAATTTCTTGCATTAGAAGGGATCCAACTGTACCTCTTGTTCCTATTTCTACAGGAGGAAATTCAGCCATCTCTATTGTGTTGCTTGTGGCAAGGATGGTGGGTTTATGCATGCTTTATTTTGTTGGTGTTAAGGAGAAAGCAAATCTTGTGATTGAAGAGGGGTGGTTTGTTATATTTTTTTGGTTGTGAACTTTTCCACAAACTGTGGGACATTTTCTTAGGTTTGAAGAGACTTGGTTTCACAAGAACTCTCCACCTATTTATATGAAGTGCTTGGTATCTATTTGTATAGTTGGTGACATAGTCTTTGCATTCATGTGCTTCTAGTTTTACACTTGAGCTCCTAACTATTGTACTATACTTGTAACTTCAAGTTTCATCATGTCTAGTCACAAGGAAATTAGGTAACTATTTGGGAGTCTAGTCTGTAATTTGGACCATAAGTTCACATGAAAGAATTCAAATACTTATTCATTGCTCGTACAATTTATAATGTGTTGGAGAAGTTATATAAAAGAAGTTTTACAGATTAACTTGTACATAATCTAATTTTAGGTCTATGGAAAAACGTATTTCATCTTTCTTTTCCATTTTTTCTTCTTAAAAGTGTTTTCAAAGAAGTTTATCAAAACAAATCTGTACTCAATGATAGTGCTTTAATTATTTTCAAACTAGGATTTTCAGTTTTCTGGTTCCACTGTTTATAATTAGAAGATTTAGAAAAATGAAGAGAGCATTGAAGATTGGTGGTAGGAAAATCAAATTGAGGGATTCATGATTCATATTTTTTTTTTTCTACACCCAAATTTGCTAATGTCCCAACTTGCAACTATGTTATTATCATTGTGCTTTTTAAATCTGGTTTTGATACATTTTAGTTATCTACATTATGGAACCTATTTCTTACTTACGTTCTTTTTATTTTGCTATTCGATTTTGTTGTCATCCACACTTTACTTTCCAAAAAGGACTCCGTAAGTTTGAGGGACTTGTGCAATCTGTCACACTTTGTGGACCCTCTCTACTGCCTTTGTTTGTAGTGGAGTCACTCACGGGAATTCCCTTCATTTGCATGTGGACTTCTTGGACACAGATGCCTTTTCACAAGATAGAAAACAAAGGTTCTCACCAAACCTAAGAAAAACTTTCATTCACTAGGGGGACCAGTTCCTTGCCATTTGATCTATATTGTGCATTCTAAGAATACCACACTTAAGCTTCTAATTCCAAGGAGAAATTACATCATTGAGTTTTAGATAAGTTTTTTCGGAAGCACTTCTAAGGAAAAAATAGGAAAGAAAATCTAAATAAAACTCTTCATAAGCTAAAATTAGCTTATGCATGAATTAAAAAGAAGGTTTTAGAGAAATTAATAAGAGAAAATTTTTACTACGTAATTTATGTATAAGTTAATTTTAGTTTATAAAAAAAATTATTTCATTTTTTTCTTTTCTAATTTGTTTTCTTAGAAGTGCTTTAGAAGAAACTTATCCAAACATAACTATTTTCATGCAAAGGAATTGATCAAATCAACTTGGAATAAGTGAGTAATCCTAGTTGCCTAAATTAGTTAAAAGATAACTGATTTTGTGAGTGCTTCGATCAGTTTTTAGCTATGGTAATCTAAAGGGTCAGTCATGACTACTGGCTATTTTTCTTCTTCTTATGGTATATTAATTTTTGAAAAATAAAATTAAGAATTAAGATTCAAAAATTCTTTCTCTCTGACAGCAGAGAATCCTTATCTAATGGAAAGTAGCTACAAGGACAATTCCATTGTTATTTTCAATCATTTGTCTCTGTATTCTTAAAGTATGATAAACTTTTCTGATTCTGTTTTGCATGTGACAAACATCTCATTGGTAAAAGACAATTCACACGTGACTAGTTTTCAATGGCATTAGCATAATTTGAAGACCCACTTCCTACTTTACATTGTTATCTTTTAAAGCTACCTTTAAGATATATTTCTTTTGATATAAATTATTTTCAAATATTTAAGGACTAACAAACTTTTGCAAGATTTTGTTTGCCCCTCAATTTTTGGTAACATTTCTAAATTAGAGTAAGATATAATTTCAGACAAATTCGGACTTAATCACCAATTCCTTTTAAAGATTTTTGGTAAAATTATGGACTATTTATCTCATTCTTGCACAAATGCACATGAAAGGATATGAAATATAAGAAAAATTAATTTAATTTCAAATCTTAGCTAATACTGGTTAATGTATATTGCTGTTTAATCTTAAATTTTGTTATGTGGGCCTTTTAAGGTTGACTACTTGTGAATAGTGTAATTGGGGAGAGAGGTAACGAAATACTAAATCATGTTCTAGTAAGGTTGAAAGATAAATTATGCTTATCAGTGTTTGCACACTTTGGATTTAGAGTGGATAGTGTAATTTAAATGAAAACCGTTATATTAGCATGCAGTAACCTAGAAACAACTCAGACCAGGGTCAGTGTGGGATGATATTTTGCATTTTTCTGAGAAATTTAAGATAACTTTTGTTAAAATAAATGGAATTTGTATACAAACTTAATAATGAGCTCATTGGGTGGATACCCACCTAAGATTCAAATTGAGGTGATGAGGCCCCATGGATGCTTCAACATGAAAGTTTTAAGCTTAGTTACAAAATAAATCAAGTTGGTGTTGTACTAAACAGTATATTACCCACTCAGATTTGTGATACCAGTGATCAATTATTGTGCTTGCTCAAGATGAACTAAACAGTTTTTCTATACGAATTCTTTCTATGAAAATATATTCATTAAAATACAAAAATACCAACAGAAAAAACTGTTTAGTAAAAAAATTAGGTTCCAAAAGTAGAATATAGTTGAAAGACAAATTTCCTAAAAAGTTGCAAAAATTATTTGAATACTAAGAGAAATAATCTTAATAATCAAATTAAGATGCTGCGGGATCATCCTAAAAGGCATGATCACCGATATGTCTTCCATTGATCACAAAAATTTACAGTCAAGATATGTCTTCCATTGATCACAAATACTATACACACATACACATTTAGATATTGTCCAAAAAGTCTTACTAATAAAAACTACTCATGAATACATTCCATGGTAACTAACTCATAAAATTCAGTCACACTCTAACATGTTAATCTAACTTTGACAACTTATATTAGAATCAACCTCTGACATGTTAATTTAACTTTGACAACTTATATTAGAATCAACCACAAAAATGTTAAATAGCAGACACAATTTTGACATGTTAATCTAACTTTGACAAATTAGTACAATGGAGGTCACTCTCCTAGGTCATGAACCTTATTGATCATCCATTAACCCCATCCAGGTAAGTATGTTGCCAAGTGTCAATCATTTCTTATTTGTAACTCATTCTCTGTGCTACTCTGACAAATCTTTTCAATGTGGGATTCTTTTATACAAATTGAAGACCAGCGAAAAAGTGATCTCAAGTTGTAGCTTGCTCTGCTAAGGGATATAAGCAATCAGTGGAATTACATCTGAAAAAGAAATGATTTGGTTGACGTTCCATTATTCTTCTTCTTATAGGATTGTGGCATGATTCATAGTTTTAATTTTTTTTTAATTAGTGTTGGAATATGAAGGATCATCTCCATCATAGAATAAAAACTTAACATTTTTCAATTTCCTTTTAATGTTTGATGATTGATAACCTATTAACTTTATTTCTGATATAAATTTGACAAATTCTTCTACATTATTCTATGCAGTTAAAAAGAATTATTCATCCTCCATCGAAGAGGAAATAGGAAAAGGAAAAACTAAATAGGTTCCCCCAAAATTGTCAGAGACTTGTGCAGAAAGAGTAAAGAAAGCATCACTAAATTAAGCTACAACAATTTCACTTATGGTCATATTTCATGTTTCAGATTATAATTAAAGGCTAACAATCCCATAGGAAGTTATAATCATATTTCCTGTTTCAGAAGTGAGTTTTCTCAAGCAAGATTTAACTATGCAACACAAAGGAAGGGAGAAAAACATTTCACACCTATTGGAGACTGAAATACTTATGCACTCTTGCTCATAACCAATTATGTTGTTAAGATTTAACTATGTCACACAAGGGCAAGGTTAATAGGTTCAGTTAGCTATTGACTAACATAAAGATGAAAATTTAGTAAGAGAAATATATTGTTGTTTTTCTATTAACCAAGAATTTGTTATATACATGATAAAGGAAAACAAAACAGTTGTAATTGTATAACCCACTACTAGTGGAACTGTCTGTATAGATGCAAGTACTTACCAAAATTAAACTATGTTCACATATTAAGTTTTAAGAAATGAGTAAACACTTCAAATATAATACTGAAAGATTCAAGAATTCAATAAAAGAATAAATAAAATGTAATAACCTGCAAAAACAGTAATTAAAATAAGCTTAAAACTGAACTGGAGGGGGCTGCGCGAACGCAGGCCCCCACTACCACTACCACAAATTATGATGTAGGCTCTGTCACTTGGACAGACCTTAGAGAAGCACCCCTCCTAAGTGCAATGGAGGTCACTCCCCTAGGCCATGGGCCTTCTTGATCACCCATTGACCCCATCCAGGTAAGTATGTTGTAATGAGTCATATGTTTCACTTTTATAGTCCATCCTCCTTGTTACATCAACTCACTTTTCGATGTGGGATTTATTTGTGCAGAGAGCTTCGAAGACTAAATCCAAATGGTCCGTGTGCTTCATCCAAAGAAAAAGCAATATATCAAAGGTAGAAAGTATTGCCTCCAAGAATCAGAACTCCATTAATATAAGATTATAGCTTTAATTTCCCATATCTGTCTCCGATTTTATCGATTGGAAAAAATTCGAACCCGAAATTGATAAACACGAGTTTTTCTGTCTAAATCCGGCGAATTCGGGTGGGTAACTACGGGAACGAGTTAGATTGTCATGCCTAAACCAAGTTTTGATTAATATAGAGTGGTTTTATTATTTATTTAGTTTTAATAAGCTCTAACAGTTTTCTTATATATCCTTGTAGAGAAAGAAAGAAGGCCTCTCTATATTTATTATAGGTAACCATATAGATTAATGGGTGAGGGATTTTATTTATTATAGAGTGAGTAATTTTAAAATATTTTATTTAAGAATAAAATTATTCAATTAAAAGTGAAAATCAAAAAAAGCGATTACTTAAATATAATATTTATACTTCTATACTTATTTGGTGTCCATTTTTTTTTCTTATTTTATCTTCAATAATAACACATAATATCTAATAAGTGCACTAATTATTATGAGAGATTTGTTTTTTTAATGGAGACATAAAGTGTTTTTTTTTACTAGTATATATTAAAGATGTTCATTTTTGTACTGTAAAATCCAAACTTGTGAATTTAAGAAATAAGAAAATGGATAGTCACTTATGGTAGAACTTAGAATAGAGCTCTGTTTCTCAAAGTCATAGACTTCACTTAAATGTTTTTGTTGAGGGATTCATTTAAATAGAGAGCTTTGAAGAC